CCCCAAAACCCCAAAACCCCAAAACCCCAAAACCCCAAAATATTAGAAAATGCTGAAGAATATAATTTTAAACTCATTTTTTGTCGAAAAAATGCTTTCTAGACCAACCAAGGACGTTGACTCAGTTACAAACCCAACACCATGTGTTATATTAGAGAAAGTGAAACCCCTAAAGGAGGAGAAGATTTCAGCTTCCATAAAAATACATGTTAAGAAGAAGCCTTCTGCGAAAGAGATTTATTTCCAGGTACATCCTGAATACCATATTTGTATGAACACTTGTTTAGAAATCAATATCTAAGATTATGGCTGAGAAAACTGATGTAAAAAGTAAGGGATTACTAGAAATTTAAAATAGAGAACTAATGGAAGGAGAATTCATACCTCATGCTCGAATCGGAACATTGAACGCCATAGACTCTGATCTAGAGATAATACAAAGGGTATTTAGCATGATTTTATATGATTAGGTATGAGAAAAGATAGAGCAAGGATCAGTTCGAGGAATAGTAAAATGTTCAAACTGAATACACCCTCTTCAACTCCACCAACAGCTTTCTTATAATTGGTAATGTGAAAGGTTTATATTGGTAGGAACACATCAGAGAGCCCCCACTACTACTCCTCAAAGTGTCAGGAATGGTAATATGGCAGGTCTGAGTCAGCGGTATCAAAGCGTATGAATTTTTTAATGCTTAGAGCCGGAAAATATCAAAAATGGTTCAAAACTCTAACTATGATCATGTCAGATGGTGGGAGAGTTTCAAGAAGATTGCCTCAATCAACCAAGATCAGATAATACAAGATCTCAAGACCGCACCTATTCCTTCAACTTCTCATACTCATCAAAGAGGGAAAACAAGGAAAGAACAAAATATCGGAATTGTTATTGATAAGAAAGGAAAGGATACCATTGAAAATTTTGAGAAAATGACACCTCAAGAATGGGCTGTCGCTAACTATGAATTTTGTGACGTTAGACAAGAAAATACTATCAAAGAGATTTGAGGATTGTTTAATCAAAAAGATTCGTTACCTCCAAAGGAAAAATTTCATCAGGATATAGCTACTGAAAAGCTCAAGAACACCAAGAATTCGGTTAAACAGTTGAAAATGCTCCAAAACCTTGGCCTTGCAAATGTTTGGAAGGAGTACTGATACCCTACTTCAATCGAAGAAGTTCTGAGTTACCTTCAAGAGTTTGACCCGAGTGTCACAAATATCTTAAATCATGAAATTTTATTAGAAACCGACTGGTCAAAGGATAAATAAAACTTGAATGAAGAAGCCAAATAAAATCAACGTAAACATGACTGAAAAGGAGCAGATAATGGTTTTACATTCCTGGTTAACTGAAATTATGAAGGTATGTTTTCTCTATAACCCACAGAAAACCAAAAGCGCACACAAAATATCTGAAATTCGGAACCACTACATCATTGGAATGTATACCTTCTGTGAGTTGATCAACCAGATCAAGTCGCAATCAAAAGTCCGGTGAGAAATCATCAAGGTTCTACAAAGTAAGCTCTTGGCTAATAGACAGAGCAAACCAGCAATATTTTTGAGAGCTATCTTGACTACATCAGAAAAGATAGGACTAAAGAGCTAAAGAGTAGGATTAAGGAGCTTGAGCAAGACCAGATCTCCATGTCTAATGAAATTGAGTTCCTGATCAATAATATTAATGAATGGAAGGAGAAAACTAGTAAGCTTAGGCTTTGTGAACTGTTTAGAGGACCTAAGACAAGATCTAAGCGTTTATAAAGGTGAGACTGAGTATGATCTTTTAGCTAAAAATCTTGCGCTTAAAGAACGCATTAAGAATGACCAGAGGAAATTTAGAATTCTCGATAAGTTGTTTAACCATCCTGATGAATCACCTGAGAGAATTGCTAGGTGCATTCCAGATGAATTAAAAGAATACAAAAAGAATGCAATAGACATTGCTATAGGCCTAATCAAAGATGCCATAAAGAAAACTCTTCTCAAATAAATCATCTATAAAGAAGCATTTATATAATGCTAAGTCGAACTTTCACCTCGATGATTTTGATGATCACAGCTCAATTATTCCTAAAGATAGAGGGTCCTGTAAGAGAGAAAGTCTTTTTGTAAAGAAGCAAGACAGCAGATCACAAGATTTCAACTCTAGCTCCAGCTTTGAGATTTCAATTAGCCAGTTAGAGAAAGCATTGACTATAAATATAATGGATGACGAGTTAAATTATGATCTTGGCATTCTCAGCCCCAAAGCTAAGCATGAAAATGAAAACCTTGACCTGCCTCATACCAATTATTTCAAGTCTAAATCATTTAGCCCCTCTGACAAATTTGGTGGATTTGCACAAAGAGTTGAGCTCATACGGGAAGGTAAGCTCTCAACTAATGTTATAGAGCCACAAGGCATCGATGTCAGTGTCCAATACGAGAATCTAGAGGAGCTCAACTCTGGCAATATCAGCGAAACTGAGATAAAGCTATTACAGACTCGAAGAGAGAGTAGGGTTAGCGAATCTTTGAGTAATTCAAGAATCAGTCCCACTCGGATGAGGATCTACCAGAATGTCTTAAACCCTGAAAAGAGTAAGAGTGAAGCTAAGAAGATTTTTAACAAGATTAATAAGAATTCACCTGTGAAAATGGACACTCTAAAGGTGACCAGGGAAAATTATGTCAGTAATTTTCCGATCTCAGAGTCCCCGAAAGGTAAGTATTGTAGCTAATATTTTAGCAGAAAATAGGTTCAAAAGAATGTTTAGCCGTAGCTCAAGTCGTAGTAAATAATTCAGAATCTGTAACTTATCTCTTTGACCCTTTAGAGCTTCCGGAGGCAAGCCAAAGACTCAAAATTTGTACTCAAAGTTTTGAAAGACATTCATGATGAGGTATATTCACAATGAAACTTATAGGAGAAGGAAGATAATGTGGAAAAATGTACTTCCTTGACTCCTAGTAGAGCCAAACTTGCTGCAAAAGCGAACGCGTTCTCCGATCTTCAGGTATGCCTAACCTTAATGACTATCTAGATGCTCAATAATTCAAAATAACGGAGGAAAAAGGCTTTCTTTCAACGAAGCTAATAGCCGGAAGTTTACTTCTTTATTTAAAAAGAGTGAGTCAAGCTCGGACACTGATTCTATAATCGAGGCTTTTAATTTGAAAAACAAGGAAGTCAAACAAGAGGATGAAGACTCTATCAGTGATCTTAAGACTTTTGTTCAGAAAATGGATGAAGACGAGCTTCAGACTGAACTACCTCGGAGAATTTTCAAATCTATTCGAGGTTTAGCCCATAAAATCGCTATTCTTGATAAAGATGAGTATGGAGACTACATTTATCGAGAGAAGGATCCTTGTGATGATGCAAGCCAAAGGTTGAAAAAAGCTTCAAATGTGCTCAAATTTTGGCTAAATCTTCTCAAATCTGCTAACAGGCATAATATCTCTCAGAATGAGGAAGCAAAGGAACAAAAGCCAGAGACCTGAAACAAAGAGATTCAAGTTGAAATTTCAAAAGTTGGAGCTAATAAAATGGGAGTGAATCCAAGAAAGAGCTTTAAGAAGAGATTCTCTGTCAGACATATTGACATCAAGCAAAGAAAGGTAGATGATGTAAAGAAAGGATTAAGTAGTTCAAAGCAAGCTGCAGGGCCATTAAGGAAGAGTGAGATTTCAACTAATTTGTAGACTCAATGATATATAAGAAAGACCCTGATTTTCATGTCACAGCTCAGAGGCCATTTAATTTTGTTTCTAATCCCAGATCCAAAAATGAAATGAACAAAAATCCGAGCACAGTTTACAGACTGATTAGTTTTGTAAAGCAGGAAGGTTCGAATTCGATCAGAGTAGCTTCTGTCAAAAACGTTATAAAAATTATGCATAATCTTTATTATGAGAAATCTGCAAATGTCAAGCAATCTCTGATTGTTGAAAACAAAACCTTAGCAGAATCATTGTTTGAGACTCTAATGCATACTTATGGAATCGGAAAGCTGGCAGAGAATAAGGCAATGGAAATATTTTCAACAGTCAAGAAGTGCAGCAACATGCCTAATTTGAATATATTTGGAAGTTTCCTCGGCCTCTCGAATACTAAATTTTATTCAAATGATGATCTCAAGTTCTTCTTTTATTTGAACAAAAATTTAGTCCTGCATGAAGCACTGGAAGCAAAGCCATATTATAAAATGGATCATAATTTTGAAGCCAAGTTTTATAATTCCAGAGAGGTAATGCTTGCTCTTGATACTATATTTAAAGGTGTTCTTTCTCAAGAGTATAAAGTGGAGAAACTCGAAGAATTTAAGTTATTTATCTCAGAAATTACTGAAAAAAGTGGAGAAGAGCTTACTCAACTAGACTACGATATTGAAATCCCTGCAGAAGCAGTCCAAGAATGGTCACTATCTCTCTACACTGAAATTAAGCTAAAAATAATAGAATTTCTACTATCCAAAAACCTCATACCACCTCACATCACTTCCAACCCCTCTAAACCTACTGAAACACCCGAGTACTACCTGCAAATTCTAAATTCCTGCATTTCTCTATCTGAATCCCATAAAATGCTCTCTTTCTTCTACACTGAAGAAGAGATTCCCCAAATCGATGATTTCCTGCAGTCCCACAGACACAACCCTCTAGACTGTTTGCTTGCAGATGAGGAATATCTTGAGGTAGAAGACCATAAATTCAAGATTGAAACTATTGTTGCTGATCTTTTTGCAAGCAAAAAGTATTGTGTTTAGTGTAAATATCAGTTTGGATTAATACTTTGGGGTTTTGGGGTTTTGGGGTTTTGGGGTTTTGGGG